TGCCCATGGTCTTTCTGTACACACCACAGATTCCCTCGGAGCAACTCTGTGTCATCCAAGCATTGTGTATCTCATCATGACAGTTGTTCTACTCTTTCTACGCATTTTTTCGGTAGCAGTAAGCTACTTCACTCGTACAATGAGGGTGTAGAAATTCTAATCGTGATCAGATTACCTCCATCGCAGGATGGCTGTCATACAATATTCTCATCCATCCACTTCGACACTACCCCGGTCCGTTCTTATGGCGAGCATCTCCTATACCCCGCATTCTTTCTAGATGGAGGGGTACTACGGTGTTTGATGCGCACCGTCTACATGAGCAATATGGGCCAATTGTGCGATTGAGTCCCTGGGAATTGAGCTACACCTCTAGCAATGCATGGAAGGGTAAACATGACCTCTTCCGCATACATATTTCTCGACGCTGACTTCGAAAGACATCCATGGGACAGGCAACTACACATCTCGCAAGCCGCTGCCAAAAAACCCTCTTGCTAACCCTCCGCCTATGTCGGGAGAGCCGGGCATCATCGACGTGCTGGATGACGAGAAGCATCGAGAACAACGCCAACTCTTCAATCAAGGGTTTTCCACCCGGGCACTGAAGGAGCAGGAGCCCCTGTTGCTCAAGCACGTCAACAGATTGACAGCAGCCGTCCAGTCGCGGGTTGATCAGAGTCTTGAGACAAACATGGTAGACATGTTCAACTTCCTAGCCTTCGACGTTATGGGTGATCTAGCTTTCGGCACCTCTCTTGGTCTATTGGAGCGATCAGAATACAACAGCTGGGTTCGTGTGATAGTCGCAACGATCAAAGTAGTCACCATCCGCATCGTGGTATTTTACCACGTTCCTTTTGCGTCAAAGATCCTGCCGCTCTTGGTCCCGAAGTCGATGAAAGCAAAGCGAGATGCGCACATGAAGTTCGCCGAAGATCGTGTGAAGGAAAGATTGGAAAGAAAGACCGATCGTCCAGATCTCTGGGGTCTGATCACCGGTGGACCCGGCGGAAAGAAAGCGAGCCTCTCTCTGGATCAAATGGTCGGCAATGCCGCTCTCTTCATGGTGGTAGGGTCAGAAACTACGGCAACAGTGCTTTCGGGAACGCTATATTTACTTTTGAAGAATCCCCACTGCATGATGAGATTGAAGCAAGAGATCTATGACAGTTTCAAGTCGAAAGACGCGATGACAATAGAGGCACTGCCGAGGTTAGCGTACATGAGCGCAGTTCTAGACGAAGCCATGCGAGTCTACCCTGGCGCTCCGGAGACGTTGGCGAGGTTGGTACCAGCAGCCGGTATGCAGATTTGTGGCAAGTATGTTCCGAAGGGCGCCACGGTGTTTATACTCCACTATCCGATGTTTCACTCCTCGAGAAACTTCGTCCGACCAGACGATTTCGCACCAGAGAGATGGTTGCCTGAAGGCTCCGTGGAGTTTGAGAAGGACAACAAGAACGCGTTCAACCCTTTCTCAGTCGGTCCACGCGCCTGCCTTGGAAGAAAGTAAGTCCACTGCCCTGGTCACCCTTATGCAGAGGCCTAATTCCGCCTACAGTCTGGCACACTATGAGTTGAGGCTTGCCTTGGGCCACTTGTTGTGGGACTTCGACTTCGAGCTCAACGAAAGCTGTGATGACTGGATGGATCAACAAACATACTCTTTCTGGCTGAAGCCGCCACTCATAGTCAAGGCTCGAGAGGCAGACCGGAAGCCATAGCCAGAGACTAGGGGTGGAAGATGGGTATGAGAGCAAAGCTACAGGTAACGCGCATGTCGAGGTATCTTGGGAGCTTTGGCTGTCTCGTCTAGCATATCTTACCACACAATTCACGCATAGTTCGGATCATACCTGCTTGCACATAAGATGCGTTATGCCATGTCTCCAGCCAACTCAAAGCAGCTGGGTCGAGCCAAGCGACTGACGCTTTTGGACGATCTGTTCTCTGCTTGTGCTCCGGTATTGGGTCAACAGATAACGGATTCTGAAGGTAGAAGGTAAACCGTAAGGATTCAACCTAGCAGCAGAGTTGTCACTTGCTGGTAGCATACATTCGGTTGAAGATCCGACATGCGCATGTCGTTTTCGGCCTGAGCGATGTCATGCATGCTTTTCGTGGCGCCGTGATGGCGCGATGTGCTGCCGTCGCAATTAGCACAACCGTGGATACGACACCAATGCTTATCGACCTTCCGTAACTAGGTTCGTGGCGGTATCTGGAAGGCCCTCATACACGCGGCGGCGAAACTGATGCCCGGGATACGAGAGACTTCGGTTTTTCTTTTTAGACCGAACGCCCGAACAACCTGGTAGCGGAGTGGCATGATCCAACAACTGAGCCAGCGATGACAAATCCTTGCCGTAGAAGAAGCGAATGCATATTGTGAGGACGTGCTGTTCATCGGAATGCTCCTGAGCTTTTCGCACAAACCAAAGATGCAGCCGCACTCTGCGAAGCGCACTGCCGAAGTCGGAGGCTCCCGAGGTCCCGAAGAAGTCGTTGTCTAGGTACGCGTCCATCCCCAAGCAGATATTTGCAAGGCCCCGCGATCAAAGTTTCTGGCTGCTTTGCGCATTTTTCTCGACCAGGCTGTTGACAATACAGGCGTTGCAACATGGTAGACGCCGTAGGGAGGATTCATTGGCCGGGACAGCACTCTTGCAGCCTGCGTGATACGCACGGCCCAGCAGCCCGCAGGAGCCCCACGATCTTCGGCGGGTTAGAACTGAGTCGCAATGAAGCTTGTGCTACCAAGCTATCTTGGATTCCTTGAGGTCAACCCGGCGTCGGAATGCACGTGAGGGATCTTGGTCGCTCGGATCGTCCCAAGTGTGCGCACAAAGGCATGGGCGTTCATCGTCGCTTCGACCACAGCCAAAGCGACATCGATCATGGTGCGCCTCGCAAACTCGTTTCTGCAGTGATTTTTGATGTCTCGTGTTCGCCGGGCACCATACACATGTCGTTAACAGGGGGCGGCGGTTTGTCGTGGATGTGATCGAGAGGCGGGCTGCTATGTGTCGGGGACTCGAGATCGAGTTTGGTTGGGCTGCATCAAGCTCTTGGTCGCCTTTCATCTCACAAGTAGCTTTCTGTCTTCTGGGCTTCGCGCTCAAGGCTGAAGTCTCTTCGCGAGTGACCTCGGACCTGTATATTCGCAGTAACATTGTGGCATACGAGTAAACGATGTAGATTCACCGATGGGCTAGAGGTAATTCCAAATCATCTGTCTTTTTGTTGTTTTATAGTAGAAGCTCAACAGCTCGGTAGTATCCGTAGACGACGATGATGTCAGTCCGCTCCACCACCACCTGGACTCTCGTATATGCAACAAGATCAGTCGGTACTGACTCTAGCGTGTAACATGTGCTAAACTTCAACACTAGGACCTACTATCCGAGCAATTGACTTCTGCATCCTCCTCAGCATGCTTCAGGCTCTGGTCCTTGCCCAACTCCGGGTTCCGGATGACCAGCGAGAAAGCGACAAGAAGTACTGCAAGACATATACCCGTGATGCAGAGTAATTTTTGCACGTGTCTGTATGCCTGTATCACAGCGATACGCTCTGGGGTTTGCACTGGGTATAGAGTTGCAAATGCAAACGGATCACCATACGCGACGGCTGCGAGCGAGGGATCGCCAATGCGACGGGCCAACTCATTTGGGATGATCTGCTGCCACATAGCACCTGAGACTGTATTACCAAGCGCGCTGCCAATGTTGTAGGTAGCGAGATAAATGCCCGTTACGATTGCGACGTCTGTTTTGGGTAGTTAGTATTGTCGCTTCAACTAGCGTGAGTTGCCATGGAAGAAACTTACGCTCGTGTTTTGTGGCAGCTTGGATACTGGCTTGTGCAGGATATGGAAACATGCCTCCTGCAATGCCCAAGCATATCTGCGCTCCGATGATGCCGGAATGCAACGAATCGCCAGAGCCGCCACGGTAGTAAATTAGAAGACCGAAAGCTACCACGAAAAGACAAGTTCCGGCGACGATGAAAGGTTTCAAGCGGCGGACCTTGAATACAACACCACCAAGAATCAATCCGGTAATTACCGAGGAGAAGCTGTACAAAGAGCTGATGCGAGTTGCGCTCTTTACTGATTCATCAAATGCGACGACTAGTACAGTGTACAGGAAGTCGCCTTGCATGGTCCATGCAAAGTTCAAAGTGCAAGCAATACCTAAAGCACCCCAAACCGCACGATCCTTCAGTAGATGGAACGGGAGCATTGGATGAGGTGCTCTGCGTTCCCAGAGCACAAAGGCGGGGAGGCACATGAAGCCGATGATAAGAGGAGCAATGACTTTGGCAGTCCCCCATTGCGATTGCGCGCCACCTGCGATGGTGAAAGGCTCGTGGTTGGTCAGCAAATCGGAATCTCGTCTGGTGCAAACACATGCCGACTTACAGTCAGAATGCAGCCGAATACCGCAATAAGCAGCACGACGCCGGGGACGTCCATTTGCCAAAAGAGAGTGACTAGCAAATTCCTGGTACCGCCATGAACTTCGTATGGTGTTTGGTATGCATCGAATGCGCCGGCCCTTTTAGCTTGTCGGCTAGACCACATGAGCGAAGCAACTAGAGGGATACAACACACTGTGTATATGATGCACCACATGCCTACCCCCCATCGCCAAGTGGTATGACTAAGCACAGCTTGACTTACATCGCCGCTGACCCAAGTATTGATCTACCGAACATCAGAAACAAGCTAAACCGGAGCGTACGGTTATATTGCTTACCAGAAATGGAACGGCAGGTATGTATGAGAAGAAGAGTCGAGATCGAAGGGAGGTGATGTCGGCTATGATGATTTCGATGAGCACGATGATGGTCGTGTAGCCAATCTGTAGGATACCCGTTAGTATTGGTCTTGTCCGTTTGGCGTTGTTGCAGCACGCACTTGGTAAAAGACTGCGCCTGCGGCGAAGGACTCGACATTTGAACTGACGGATTCAATGACGGTACCTTTGGTCGTGTTAGTACGACTGCCAGAGCACAACGCTAAGCTCCCAGTTTGGTGTGTGCATACCGATGATGTAAAAGAGCATGGAGAGTATGACGACTTCTATGCGGCCAAAGACATCGGCTGTGACCATCGAGTTAGTTTCTCATATCTTGATCGGTGTGAAGACTCAACTTACCAATCTTAGCCGCAGTAGGCTGTTGAGCACACAGTGAGCATGGGTTTATACGTGGTAGCAGACTCTAAGACTTACCTGCGCAGCAGCGGCGATGACGCTCCTCAAGACATCTTGGTCAATGTTAGCGTTGGTGACTCGGAACGACTACAGATTTCACCAGACATACTAATGGTAGCCAAGGTGGAATGCCGTTGGAATCCCGCAGTGGCATATGGTTGGTAGGTGTATCGGAGCGTCCCATCCAAACCATACGCATACGCAATGAGGAAGATGCCGAAGAAGATGCAGCAGCGGTTGATGAAGGACGTGTGCGCGTTGAGGGCTTCGATGCGTGCGACACCCGGAGACTTTGCGCCTGGTAATGCGGTGGGGGAGGCTAGATCGGCGCCGGTTGCGGTTGTGTTGAATAGCGCAGTTTTGCCAACGTCCAAGTTGTGGTGATGCGACATGGTGGTTGGTGGATTGGTCGGCACAAGTGTTGCGAGGAGATGATGTGCAACAACGGTTATTTACCAGCGCCGGGCGGCAGGTGAAAAGAATGCGGGCTGCATATTTCATGTGATTTCCCAGTGCGGAACGCGTTACTACTGTACAAGCAAACGGACAGCTTCTCGGTGCTGGATGGAGCCTAGTGCGGCTCGGGACAGCTGATTGATAAGATTAGATGCAAATTCTCGCTGGCTTGGCGTGACCCCCCGGCAGCTCGGAAAGCCTTGGCGGCGCCCAATCCCGACGTGTAAACGCGGGCGTACGGGCTGCTGTCGGAGGTGAAGGCGTCGAGGACGATGGGTGCTGCGGCGAGCGACGGAGGCTGGTGCTGACAGTGCCGAGGGGCTGCGTGTGTGAGATTGCAGGCGGCTGGCCCGTCGGTGCGTCGAGGCAGTACTTAGCAGACGCTGCACGCAGCAACATCGAGCAGCCATGGCCCACGCGTACTTTGGCGCGACAGACGACGGAGTGTATACGCCCATGGCCGTCGGCAGCGTAGACTCGGGGCTCGGCGCGGACCTCGACGACGGCCAGCCACAGCAGGCGCGCAGCAGCAGCGAGGAGAAGGACAGCCTGACGCCGGCGCAGAGCAGGCGCAAGGCACAGAACAGGGCAGCGTACGTGTCCCGCCCCCGTCCCCCATCCAGCGCCCCCGTGCTCATGCCTCTCCAGCCAGCGCGCCTTCCGCGAGCGCAAGGAGCGCCACGTCAAGGAGCTCGAGACGAAGCTCTCGGCCCTCGAGTCCAGCACCCACTCGCTGCAGTCCGACAACGACCGCCTCAAGGCCGCCCTCGACCGCGCCCGCACCGAAAACGACATCCTACGCGCCACCACCCGACGCTCCCCCTCGGCCTCGCGCCCCCTCTCCGCCACGTACCCCTCGCCGGGCGCCTATCTGCCCGTCCACGACCATGGCCACGACGGCGACGACGACGAAGAAACAGCCACAGGCTACCGTGTCGAGTCCCTGACCAACGCCACCGTCGTGAACACGGCCGCGAAGGAGTATCCACGCACCCGCCCCGGGGCGAAAGAGGTCCCCGCTGCCCAGGCCTGGGACCTCATCCAGCAACATCCGCTCGTCAAGCAGGGTCTGGTTGACGTGGCCGACGTGTGCGAGCGCCTGAAAGGCTCCGCCAAGTGTGACGGCCACGGCCCCGTCTTTGAAGAGAGCACCATCTGGCGAGCAGTCGACGAGTCGCGCCGTTGCGGCGGCGATGAGCTCATATGATTGCTGCCTCCATACTCCTTGCGTCTTTTACTATTCTTTTGCGCTGAGCGCTGACTTTGCGTTTTGGGCCTTGGGCGCTCGGCGTCCGGTGGCTGCACGAGCTTTCCCACAAGACGGGCGCTCCAGTGTTGGACAGATGGCGATGAGAGAACACTTTTCTTTTTTAGATAAGGCGAGAATTTTATTACGCCATGTGCTTGTTTGCCCATGCCACAGCCTGCCACGTAGCAAGTCGACTCTCAGAAATCCAAATTTCTTCATCTTGACTTGTTCACCACCAACACTCCCGTGTCCGGAGAACATGACTCCCCATCTTCAACGCTCGTACCTCAAACCAGCAGCGTAGAACAAGTCTACCAGTAAGGGGTCAGTCCACGACCAGAATGTATCTACTCAACACCGATCGAGGCGCCACAGTATCTGATACGTCCATGCGAAGCGAGCATCCGCCATCGTCAACTACTGCCTGGAAAGCCAACATATGTCTCAATGCCAGACGTTCCTCATACGGCGCGTACAGAGCAAGTCTCCGGGAGACAGCTTTGAGGTCGACGTCGTGGACGTCAACAACCCTACCAGGCAATAAGCCGTCACATTACCCTATCAGTACGCCTTCAGTCCCAGTCGCTATCGTCATCGTCTCCTGCGGTGTTGCCTTGTCTTATCCTGCTAGGGTTGGCGTCCTCGTCGTCTCTCTTCTTCTGGAGGCGCGAGTCTCCTAGTTTGACGGCGCCAACATCAACGAGAAGCCTTTCCAGATCTGTCGTAGCAAGTTAGCACACCGTAATGCAGGGCTGCCGTCAGGAGTTGAGGGACGCGACCCACCCTGTACACTTGTCCTCGGTCCCTTCAATTGCATCAGCGTAACAATCTGCCTCTTGATATCCCCGTCCTTGTAGATCAGCACCGTCGGCGTGTTCTTATCCGGGTACCCCTCGATGCAAAGATCCGCCCTCATCTGGCAAAACTTGACATCGCCAAATCTCTTTGCCAACTCCCTCCAATGCTCAATCATGACTCTTGACTCGGTGTTTGTGCCCGTCGAACTCGTCAACAAGACCAGCACATATGCCTTTTTGCTCTCTTCGGTAACGTCGGAAGAGTAGTCGGGTTTCTGGATATGATAGACTTGGTTGTACACCGAGGCGGTATTTATCGATGCAAGCTCGGCCATGCGCTTTTGGCGGTACGAGTCGAGAAAGTCGTCGTCTTCTTCATCCTCTAGCTCGGCCAGCTCGTCCATGTCTTTGCCCTCTAAACGGTTTTCGTGTGCGAGTTCGCGGGCCTGCTCAAGCGCCTCCTGAATCATGGGTGTCGGCGATGGCGGCTTCTCGGGGATGACGCCATGTTTCCTGAGAATATCGTTCCTAACGCGCTAGTTTCAGTACTGTGTCTTTCGCCATCACCTGATGGTGGTTTGACTCACCATTCCGTGTCGGCGTTGGGGTCGTCGATTGGGACGTTGACGGGCATGTCTGGCATCTGCATGATGGTGGTGTGGAGGAAACGCCTGTTGGGAAGATTCGGTAGAGTGTGCAAAGTGCAGGTGGGTGGTAACAAACGTTTCTTCTAGACGTCTGGTGCCTGGAACGTCAGATATTTCCAACAGCGCGAAGCTCCGTCATGGACCCTGCCAAGCTGCCCCGCCCCCACCTCAGCTCCACGCGACGCCACCCGTGTCTCTTCTGGAAGCTGCGTCTTAGCTCCTCCATCTCAGTTACAGATATCTGCCATCATTTCTTTTTGTATGTAGCAAGCACGCTGTATTTACAGGCATTCTCCACTACATGTGAGAGTAAAATACGATCCGACTCATCCGTATAGATTCCTAAAATACACCACTGCGTACTTGATCATAATCTTTCCCCGTACTTGTTACCACGAGCTCGAATGTCCAACTTCTCCGTGGTTCGACCAACACCCTTTGCTGCCTCTTTCATTCCCTCTTATGTATGGTACATGTCAAGAATGCAAAAACCGATTATTTACATCTGTTTGGTCATCCTGACTTCGCACATGCACTCCCTTACTCACTTTTACCCTCCACATCTGCACGGTCTTAAAAGAACTTCCCGTTGCTGCCATTCTCGATGCTGCTATGCTCAATCACAGCCTCACCATCGTGCTCGTCGAAAGCACCAGGTCTATCGATGTTTCGTGGAAGAGGTCGGTCAAACGCGTCGAAGCGACGACCCTGAAACTTGGCCTTGATCCAGAGGAACCCGATGCGGAGAGCGCAAGCAGCAAAAGCCCAAAGAAGACCTCCGAAAGGCGCTGCTACGAAAGCACCTCGTCGTTGTTAGCAATCGTCATGGGCGCCGGAATAGCTTGCACTCACCGAAAGCGCTCCAGTCATTTGCGTACAATCCACCTTCCAACAACAGCAAGTTCCCGGCTAGAGTGACATCGCCATTGTAGTAGACAAGCCCAAACAAGAAGATGGTGAAGATACCCCCAAGGCCTCCAATAACAAAGTCGAAACCCCGGTAGAAGTAAAACTTGTCGCTCAGCCCGATGACGAGGCAAGGTACAACCGCTGCACTGACAAGATCACTGATTAGGAAAATTTGCAGGATATCGGGGCTGCGCAGAGCCACGACGACAACAGGGAATATGAGCGCCACAACGCACGCGCGGATGATCCAGATGTTGAGTTTGTTGCGGAAGAAATCGTTGCTTCCCGTGCTGATCATGGCCGATTGGAAAGAGTCAAATGCAGCAGTGGAAAGCGAGATGGTCATGACGAGAACAACACCGACAACCCACGCAGGCAGCCGTTCTAGCAACAAGAAGAAGGCCAAAGAGCCGTTTTCTTCGTCGCCAATGGTATACGCACCAGACCATGCTGCAAGCATTCCTCCCACACCTAGCAGAGTGAGGATAATCAGTACGCCCATACTGGCGAGTGAGACACCAATCCAGAGATCCCTGTCCGTGCGAGCGGCGAAAGTACGCATCCAGAAGCCTGAGAGGAAGAAGTCGTTTGACAAAATGGCGACAGGGAGGATGTAGATAAGTTGCCAGCCTAGGAGGCTGGATTCGAGGTATCGGGATTGGTCGATGAGGGAGCGGTCGATGTCTGTTTCTACGCCGACAGCAATGACGCCCATGATGATAAGGCCGATGACCATAACGCCCTGGATGTTGTCGGTTACGAAAGAGACTTTGAAGCCCCCGAGTGCTGAAGTAAAGTTTTAGTTGATGCTCGTAGTTAGTGTTGCAACAAATCTTACAGGTGTAGATGGTAGTAACAGCGCACTCCACAATGACAACCGGAAGACCGTTCAGGCCCGTGAGTAGAGTGACGATTTGCTGCAAGGCCGAGAGCTCAGCGACCATGTACAAAAACATAGTGATGAGCGTGCAGACGCTCAGAAAGAGTCCTCCGATAGCTCCGTAGCGCTGCCTTGTCCATTCCGTCAGCACGAAGCCTTCAGGACACTTCCGTCTAATGATGGGACCCAACGCGCCAAAGACCAACAAGGGCAGGGACGATGATAGCGCGTAAACCAAGAGACCCTGTACACCAGCAATGGTAGCGATCTGAGGGTACGTGAACAAGATACCGGATCCGAGAGCTGTGATTAAAGAAGAAACCTAGGTCAGCCGTTTGCACGAGTGAGAATTGGGAGGGGGGTGCAAAGGGGGAAAGTAGCGGCAGCACGTTCCTCACGCAAGTATTATCTTGATCGAGTTCTTACGGTACTTCTCAGCTTCCCCTTCACCAGG